TGCCGTGTCACAGATATGACAAGCAGACTTCTCCATGAATAGTAAATGCGAAGCATTTCCAGTTGGCTTGCAAGAGAAAACATCCTTATCCAAGAGTCTTGGCCTTGTTCGCATTGCACAAGTCTGTAACAAATTAATGACCAGGTCAGTTTTAAATGCACAAAGCGTGGTTAGCTGGCATAGTACCAAGACAGAATCCCGAGCCCAGTATTGCCTTTTTGTCATGGTCTCATTTATTATTTCACACTGTAAAAGGAACTTTCCTCTGGACCTCTACCAGTGCCTTCGTAACTTCTTTCTCATTCGAGTTCCTCGTCCTGTAGAGCTGTTCAAAGCCCACTGTCTCCAGTTCAGGTGCTGCTTTATGTGCGTGTCCCCAAGCACTCTGTCCCCGTGCAGCCACTCTAGAGAGCTGCCCTGATTTTCTCCTAAAGCACTGGGAGAAACGCAACCATGCCATGTGGTAGGTAACATATGGTCCTGTGGTGGAAAACCCACCACCGCGCACACGAGCAGCAGAAAGCCCTGCTGTGTAGCCACAACTCAGGCGCGTTTGTTGTACCCAGATGAGATGAAGTTGTCACAGCCCTTGTTAAAAAAAAAAAAAAAAGGCAAAAAAAAAAGCTGTTGTATTTATAGGCAGAGCACTAGCATATCACACACTGGCAGAGTGAATGGGAACATGCCTGCTGCTATTGCCTGGCCCCTGGGGAGATAACAGTGTGCTATTTACTTCCAGCAAAAGGAATTTTTGCTTTAGCTCAGCTGGTCCTATTACACCAGTTTGAGTGCATGGGGTTCATTGACCTTTCTAATCATATATGTTGAGAAAGTCTTTGTTTTCCCCAGGAGCAAGACAGCCTCATCTGCTCGTGAAAGCACCTGACTTGTCACTCTGGAGAGGTTAGGTGGGGCAGCAGGTCATCAGTCTGTTAGCTAGCGGAGATGAAAATTAACCTAAGATCTCCTCTAATCACCGCGTGTAATGATCACTGGTGTGTAAACATGTTTGGCTTCATTATCTGCACAAGCATTGAGCCTCAGGGTTTTTTTGTATTGATGAAAGGAGCACCTTTCCTCACCCAGATATCTTTCAGAGTAGGTTGTGTGCTTGCTGGCGTTGTGCAAACTTTTCGTGTTGTTGCTGGGTAGTTTCCTGATTAATCAGAGTGGCATTTGTGTTGGCTTCTCATCAAGAATGCCATGAAAGATATGTTTGAGTGCAGTGCACAGCAATATACAGAATACATAAGCTGCCTGTTAGCCATCCCTGTTTCTTATAATTGCCCCAGCGGTCTCAAGGTACTTTAAAGCATTTTAAGCATATCCTTTATGATTTAAAATGTTTCTCATCCTGAGGTATCTCAACACCCATTTCTCTGCGTGACTGTCATAGTTTTGCCTAGGCTGTTTCTGAGGAGCGGGCATCGCAGGGTGGTTTGTTGTGGTATTTCTCAGCAATATGTGCCTGCGTGCACTTGTTTACTGTCGGAGGATTGTGAACACAAACTGGAGAACACTTTCTTATTATTGTAGGGTTGCTTCTGTGGACTGACCACCCCACGCCTGTTTGCTCAGTTCACCTAAGACATTGCCCGTTTCTGCAGAGGTTGTTTGTTCCTTAGAAGTAGGGTGCCCATCCTTGCTTATTATTTTGAGATGGATCTTACATGCTGGTTCCTGACTTGTTAGTATGAGGCTGCTGAATGGCAACATGCTAAGGGAGGGAAAAAAAAAAGTTCACAGAATAAGATTTGGTTTGAACAACAAAATGCTTACAAAGAATGACACAGTCTTGGCGAAGAGATACACATTTGAAAAATGGAAAGGTCAAACAGCCCCCTCCTTTGAACAAGCACTCTTTCTGCAGAAGCAGGACTGATAGACAGCCACTTCTACTTTCCTGGCAGCCACTCTTCAGTGATGATTAAGAAATATTCTCAGTACTGACAGCATCATATTTAGGGCCAAAGAGGACCAGTCAGCAACATTGCACCAGCACAGAAATGTGAGCACCGATGCAGGGTATTCTTACGGTTTGATTTCTAATCTGGTGTCCTCCGCACGTCTTGAAGCAGATGCAGCTCAGTCCCCGTCGTCGACTGCAGGAGGAATTCAGCAATAAGGGCTTTGCACACTCTTGGGCTGCTCTTTTCCCTGCTGCTCTTGCTGTGAGTTTGTAAACAGCCTCTCCTGCCATCCACCGTGTTTGAAATATTATCAGTGTTGATGTACTGGTTGTGCAGGGTTTGCTGCTGCCCTGTTTATTTCTCGGGGCCTCTCTCGTGCTAAAGATTATTGACGCTAGCATTAAGTCATCAGCTGGTGTATGCTGGCAAAGACTACAAAAAGACAGTAGCACTAGGCAGATTTATACTAGCTAAAGGACAGATCCAGTAGGCATAAACAAACAGACACAAGGTGCTTTGGCTGATCTGTTTTGTGAATAGCTGCAATTTTTTCTCTATTGGAAGTTCTCAGGGACTTATTTCCCTCACTGGTTTGTACACAGCTAGGATCAGCCTCGTTGTTACCAGCAGGAGGGGTAGGACATGGCCTCCCGACACCAAGTTCAGCACACCTGGGCTTGACAAGACATGAGTTTAAAAAGCCAACTCATGGTGTACCTGGACGATCCCCATTGTATCATCACTGCTGAAGCTGCACGAGCGAGGAGTGTCAAGTAGAAACATGCAATGTGAATTAGATCACTGTAAAAGGTTGTCTGTCCTGTAGGGTTCAAGAAACCAGGGTCTTGCAATGGCCTTAGTCAACTCAATCTCCATGCTCTCATTGCACGCAAGTTTTGTTTTGCCACAGTTTACGCTGGATGAGTGAATTAGCTTATGTGTTAGTCTCTCCTTCTAGAGTAGGTTGTACTGCGCAGGAAGGATTTGAATATTTTGTTGAAGTGTCTTTTCTATACAGATGTGCCTTTGGAGGAAGTCTGACAGGCCTGTTTCAGAAGAGTTGCTCTGTGACTTGGGCAAGGGGAGCAGAGGCAGGTGGGTGCAGACCAACTACGGGAGGCTGGAGATGCCATTGCTCCGTTCCTCTTGCTGCTGACACTCCTGCTTTTAGAGGACTGATTGGTCTGTGGTTTCCCTTTGGACCTTTATAACAGAGAATTCTAAGAAGGGACTAATGGATCTTCAGGTGGCTTATTGCTGACCTTGTTACTCCTGTCAGAGCAATGTGCGCTCAAGACTTGGAAGTTGGTCTGTCCATTGGTGGTTTAGAGGGACAGTCCTCCAGTAGCTACGCCTTTCGTTGCATTTCCTCCCAGTTGCATGGAAGTTGTTTAGACCAAGTAACCATATATATATATACACACACACAAAATAATTTTTTTTTCTTATTATGCCATTGTTTGAACTTGATTTTCCTCTGTACGGAAAAAGCTGCCCAGCTCAGGCACAGTTAACCGAAAGGCTCTTTCCCGAGGCTGCTGGGCACAGACAGATCCTGGGATTCGTTTTTGTTCCCAGACAGACGAACACACCCTGTTCTCCTCTGGGTACCCCACAGGGGCTGCTATGGAGTAAGAAGTTGTGGAAGAGGATTCTTATTACATCTTTCCCACAAACAGAGGCCCCCTCCTGCCCCCGTTAGAGTTCCCACAATTGCACTCACCCAGACTCACTGCAACAAACCTAGTCTTCCACCAGCAGCAGCAAGAGGTCTAGAATTGCAGTATGTCTGAAGTTGCCCACAAAAGGAGAAGACAGGAGCGCAAAAATACTGTGAATACTGGAAGAAATAACATGGTAGAGCAAGGGCTCCAAGAGTGGTAAGAAAATACTGTAAGAAAATTGAAGAGAAAGATGATGAAGTTCTCTGCCATACAGTTTTATTCTGTCTAATAAATATAACACTGAAGATAATTCCCCAAAGATCCAGCAAAGCCAATGAATAGAGTAATCTTGAACAGGAGTGGGAAGAGAGGAAACCTGCAACTTTTAATGGAGAACCCATTCCTTTCCTTTGGGGTGATCTTGCTGAGAAGAGGGAGGGTGTCTGTCTGTTGACTCTGCAAGTGGCCCTTTTTGAACTTCCCAATTCACAGCCAAGTCCTGTTGCTCTTCAACGGTAAGAGTTTTGTTGTGGTTGGAGGGATAAAAAAATC